TTGTGGCACAGCCCTCCATGCAGCGTGGGGCAATGTGGGGAAGCAGGGATCGCCCCCCTGCTGGGCAGCAGCCAATGAGTGGGGGCTTTTTTTTTTCAACGTGCCAGGAGCTGGGGTGAGTGGGCTGGGGATGGGACCTGTGTGATTCAGACATTCAGCTATTGGCAGCAGCCATATCTCTGAATGAGATTCGTCCAAATCAATTCGGGACACTGATTCAAATCACCGAATTGAATCGCTATACTCTGAATCGGCCGAATCCAAAGTGAATACTAGCCACTTTGCACAGGCCTACTCTGCATTAATATCACAAAAAAGCCTATGCTGGAACTACTGCGCAGTAGCACCAGTTACTGCACATTACATTAGTACCTGTTATCACAGATACTAAACATAATGCGTTTTAACTACAGCACATTAGTGCACATGTAGACATGTCCAGTGGTTGGGAAACATGACACTGATCTGAAGAAATGTAGGGAACTAGCAACTTTCATGAGAATGAGTGGGAAATCAACACAAATTACAGGTGATCAGTATTTACCAGGATAAGACTCCATAATCTTTAATCAAAAAAGGGAAAGAAAATGAGAAGTTGGGGTGAAATGGATAATATGGAGCTGATGTTGTGAGGTATTGTGTTTCTTTAAAGGGTTTAGAAAATCTTAGCATTAAACAAGTCCAAATGTTCTCTAATAGTTTCTTTTCAGTTTTGCCTGTGTTTTTGTATCAGGTTCATGATAAAAAAATGTTGGATTAAATCCATAAATATTGATTTATGCAAGTATAGCATACATTATATTTAATTCATCTATGATAAAAACAATGCAATAATAATATTTCTGTAAAAAAAAATAGGGAATCTATATACATAGAAACACACAATGCATGCATATAAAATTTGAAGTGGGGCTACTGGATGGATGTAGGCACCAACCATTTTTTTTAAAAGTAAAACTGATTGAGAATGAATCAAATTACTCATTATATAAATTACTGTATATTCCTTAGGAATAATCTGCAAACCTTTCTTTAGTTCCTAGGAATTGACTGTAGAGTCCTGAGATCACCTATTGATAGTTCCATTGGAACTGCTATTCCATTTCCCCTGAATTTGGTGTAGTCACTTGTACTGAGACAACAGGTATAATGTGCTTGAAATGCTACCATTTTATATCTCTGCACTGGAGGGCTAGACTAGATAATCTTTGAGATCCCTTCCAACAGTATGATTCTACAGTTCTACTTATGGAGGTAAGTGCTATGCCTGGTATAAGTATTTGCAGGAACAGTCACATAAAATATGACCGACTAAAAATGTAAATGTTCAAGAAAAATGTTATTTAACTGTTTTAGGGATTTGAAATTGTGTCTTGGAAAATGGAATGCTAAACACCACTTTTAAAAATAAAAAATAAACTTTTGTTAGACAACTGACCTACTCCTCAGGTCATTAGGTGTCTGAAAGCTCACCTAACATCTATCCCAGCTGTACACTTACTCCAGTAGAACATTTTGCAGTCCCCCACCCCAGCTGCCATCAAATCCTTGTTTTGCACAATTCCTGGCCCATTATAGCAGCAATGGCACTCCAACCTTACTGCAAGGAAGTTTTGAACATTCTGTTATAATTTTCACTGCCAACTAATTAATAAGCTCAATGATAATGGACCAATATTATTTAATATCTTCATCAGCAATTTGGATGAGGGCATGGAGAGCACCTTCTCCAAGTTTGCTGATGATACCAAGTTATGGGGCAAAGGAGGGCAGGGAGCAGATTAAGGCTGACCTGGACAGGTTGGATCAACGGGCAGATAGAAATAGGATGCAATTTAATAAAGATAAATGTAAGGTACTCCATCTGGGAAGGAGGAACCCCCAGCACACCTACAGGTTGGGGAGTGTCTTTCTCAGCAGCTAAGGGGCAGAGAGGGATCTTGGAGCCATAATTGACTCCAAGATGAGCATGAGTCGGCAGTGTAACAAGGCCATCAACAAAGGCCAATCACACCTTTTCATGCATGAGCAGGTGCATGACTAATAGAACAAAGGAGGTGATGCTCCCCCTCCATGCGGCACTGGTCAGGCCGCAGTTGGAGTACTGTGTCCAGTTTTGGGCACCACACTTCAAGAAGACTGCAGGGAATCTTGAGAGGGTCCAGAGGAGGGCCACTCGCATGATTAGTGGCCTTCATGATAGACCCTATGGGGGAAGGGTGAGAGAGCTGAATCTCTTCAGCCTTCACAAGAGACATCTGAGGGGAGATCTTGTGGCCACCTATAAATTTATTAGGGGAGGTCAACGGGAAATGAGGGAAGCGCTGTTTACTAAGGCGCCCCAGGGAGTGACTAGGAATAACTGATGTAAACTAGTTGAGAGTGGATTTAGGTTAGACATTAGGAAGACATTTTTCACAGTAAGAGTGGCCAGGATCTGGAATGGGCTTCCAAGAGAGGTGATGCTATCACCTAGCTTGGAGGTCTTCAAGAGGAGGCTAGATAGTCCCCTGGCTGGGGGCATCTGACCTCGGTCCTGTTTCCTGCCAAGGGCAGGGGGTTGGACACGAGGATCCATTGTGGTCCCTTCTGACTCTACAATCTATGAATCTATAAGTTCAGAGTCAGTGTGCTTAGTCTGTCATGCAAAGACCAATACCGTTTGTGCAGGCCCATGAAAATATAGGTTTCTGTCTGAGCAGGCTACTCTGTAAAACACTAAATTAAAGGTCATAAATCACTGAATTTAATGTCATAAAAAGAATAAACAGTAAGGCAAATGTTACTCAGCACCACTAATGTAAACAGTCAACAATCCAGGAAGTACTTGTGGCACTGTCTGCAAACACAGAAGACTGTAGTTCTCCTTTTGCTATCCAGTTAGAAGCCAGTTGTTTAGATTCTCCTTTCCATTCTTGGCATCTGTCCTGGGATGGACAATAAATATGCCAGGTATGAAGGTGTGTCTTGTATGAAAACCTGTAGGATAGAAAGCAAACTAAGATCAACAGGTAGCCCCCAGATGGAAATATTTTAGGTCACCAGCAATCTGATATCAATGCCATTCTCTAACCATAGGAACATCAAACTCATAAGGAGTGACTCTAAGAGGTGGCTATTTAGAAGTTAAAGGGCCTAAACAGACTGTGCATGGGCAACTGGTGCCTCCTGAGTCTGGGGGGGACACCAGATCGCTGATGGGGGGGGGGTCCCCCCAGCAGCCAATCACCAACCAGGGGGGAGGTCCCCCAGTGGCTGATCACTGAACAGGGTGGGTCCCCCAGGGGCCAATTGCTGAGCCAGTGGTGAAACTGGAAGTGCACTTCTGATTTCAGGGCTGGCGAGTCCATGCGGTGCATGGCCAATCTCAGGGGGTGCACGTGCACCTGTGCGCACCCCCTACGTGTCACCAATGAGACTGTTTAAGTAAGTGAAGAGGAAATGACAGAAATTGATAGGGTATAAATGTAAGATTAATAAGATCCTATTAAGAAAGGTCTATTAATTTTAGGTCTAGGAAAAATCTTCACGTCGGTGACATTTCTTAGACTATGGAAGGGTCTGCCCTCATTTAAGACTCTTAAAATTAAGCTGTAAACACACACAGAATAGTTTACCATAGTGGATGGTCCTTCACTGACAGGGAGTGTCAAGATGACCAAATACAGTGGATCTCTGCCACCTCTATGTATATATATTCTACTCTGAATTGTAATTCTTCCTTGATTAATTCATTATTTGTATTTGCAATAATGTATGTTCATTGCCAAGACATCTGGTTTTGCCTGCAGCAATAAATCATGTTTAAAATGAATACTGTCAAGAGTGGCAGCATCAGAATTAATTTCCAGATGCCCTGATGTTATAATTTAAGCTAAAATCTTTGTAAAAAGCATCATTTATAATTACAGGGTCCACAGGTTATTCGTGATACCCTTTACATCCCAAAACTTTTCAACCTGAGCAAATGCACAGGCCTTAAACTGTAACCTGAAGGTCAAGTAAATATAAGATTCTCCGCTAAGGATTTTCTTGCTTCATCTTCTCATGTTACTTTTTGGTTGCTGCTGGAGATAAAAGTGGAGATAAAATGGCATTTTATTGTGTACAGTTTTGGGCTCCACTTTTTAAAATGGATGTGAAAAAGTCAGAGAAAGCCAGAGATGGGCAGCAAAAATTATAGAGGACTTGGAAGGTAAGCCATATGAGAAGAGGTTGAAGGAAACAGCACGTTCATCTTTCAGAAGAGGTGATTAAGAGGGAACATGATATCAGTCTTCAAATATCTGAATGGCTGCCACAAAGAAGAGGGAGCACATCTTTTCTCCATTTCAACAGAGAGTATATGTAGCAATGGCTCGAAATTGTAGGAAAGGAGGTTTAGATTGACTACTAGGAAAAACTTCACTGCTGTAACAGTGAGACAGTTGAGCAGATTTCCTAGGGAAGCTGTGAAATCTCCTTCATTGGAGATTTTCAGTAAGTTAGGTAATTATGGTTAGGGATAATCTAGTAATACTTGGAGTATTTTATGAAGAACAACAGTTGGAAACACAGGAGCCCCC